GTTTTACGTAGGGAATTTTCGGGAATGATCCACAATAAATAGCTATTAATAACAATCCCGGCAACCCCCAGCAACCCATCCAGCCACCCTACGTTGGTCAATGACGGGACTTGGTGAGGTCCCCCACAGCACCATTTTGACGCACAGAACTGCCTTGGTCTACAGTTGGCTTGATTGGAAGGTATAACGAACTGATTAGACAGCGTTCAGTTGCCTAAAAAATGTGGCTGAATTCTTTGGCTTATGGTAGATATAAGTATAGTTAATAGTGTTAATGGGGATTATAAACCAACATTCACATCACTAGGGCCTCACCTTGTAGTTGTCTAGGGATTACCTTTATCCAGTATGGGAACCCCAATAAAGCAGCCTAGATACTGGGATGATACCAACAAAAAGGGCGTTGCGTTGCTCAATTGGATTTAAAAAACGCAATAAAAACATGTTTTTGGCCATTTAAATTCTGTTATTCTTGCTTGTCTCCCCAGTTAATCCATATTTCTTGCTGGTTGAGATCCACACGCTTTTTTGGTGGCCAAGTCTCCTCCACTTTCCTGTCATTTTCACTTCATGACACCAACCAGTCCTGTTCGGACTGGTTGGTTGTTGAATAGAGGGGGTTCCCATTTCAGAAAACAAATATCAATGGATTGGTTAAAGGGACAAAAAATACAGGAAAACCCGAGCTAGATTTTTCTGGGAAAATCTCTGGAGTTTCCTGTGGATTTTGTCCTTAAACCAATCCATTGATAATAGGTACCATCTGGTTATGACTAACAGTTCGCCATGGAAAATCCCAACCATAAATGGAGGTTGATGTCGCTGGGAAAATCATCCCAACCATAAATGGAGGTTTCTATGATAGTTGAGTTGTCTAAAGTATCTTCCATCAGACTTTGCTTAGATGGTAAAAAAGCGTGGCAATGTCAACCACGTGGCAATGTCTGAAAAAGTTACGTTACTCCAAAAATTGGTGAATCGCCATTACATTTCCCTATCATTTGATAGACATTTGGAAGTATATACCCTCCGGTTATGAGTTCCATGGCTACCCCAAATTCCATGATTGTCTGTTTGGTGGATAATGGTGGTTAATGGTGGTTAATGGTGGTTAATAATGATTAATGATGGGTAATGATGTTATACTAGTTGCTGGTTTCAAACATTTGGATTATTTTCCATTTCATATATGGGATGTCATCCTTCCCATTGACTTTCACTCCATCATTTTTCAAGATGGTTAAAACGCACGCACCACCAAGCAGTTTTCGCAGCTACTGTAAAAACCGAAACCTCCGAACAAAAAGGCGAGTTGGGGGATCCCCTGGCCGCCATCAAAATGACACCAGAGGGTATCCATAGATGTCCCAAATTCCCATTGGTTGGTTGATGAAAATAGAGGGGTTTGAAGGTTTACCCCTTTAACAACAGGTTTCCATGATGATAGATGGGATTAACCAGCTCCCGGCCCCAACCTATTTTTACCAAAAGGACATTATTGGTTACCCGGCCTGGTAAACATACAAAAAGCGAACTGGAAAATCACCATGCTAATGGGAAAATCAACGAACTCTCGACTGGGCCATTTTCCATAGCTTTTAGTATGTTTATCCACTATAAATGGCAATGTTCAATAGCAAACTATGGAACATGATCATGCTATTAATGGGTAAATCCACTATTTCGACTGGGCCATTTTCCATAGCTTTTTCTATGTTTACCAGATGGTAAATCATCATACATCATCAGATCAATGGCCATTTCAGGAACCTACAGTAAATTGGAGCTACCTACCATATATAAGGCCTATGTATATAAGGCCTTAATTTCAGGGGATCTACCCCCAATTCATATGGCCAGAAATATGTTTACCAGGCCGGGTATCCCCAAAAACCTCTCGCTTCCCAGCTCCGCCCCGCCCAGAAGTGATGGAGCTCTGTCCCTTTCTGATGACACGCCGGGAGTCTCAGAAACGGTCGCGCCCCTCGCCGCGTTGCCCGGGAACGGCGTCGGCGAAGCCGAAGAGTTGTTGGCAACTGGGGGCTATAGTGGGAATATCCTGGGGCTATAGTGGGATAATTAGATATATATATATATCTATAACTAAGAAGATTATACTTAAGCGTGTCTGTCTGAAAATGGGTGATAGCCGAAAAAAAAAATGCATAATGGCAAAATGGGTGAAATGACAAAGCATCAAATTTGCGAGTATCTTATTTTCAGAGAAACCAATGCAATGGGTATAACCCCAAAAATCAGATGGAATTTCCGCAGTACTGACTGGTGATGGGGTATAAGCCCATGATGGTTGTTGTTTCATTATATCTTACGAGTGGAAATTCGTCACTCTTGATGCGAAAAAAAGGACTACCTCATCAGTATGCAGCACAAGTAGTTTTTCAAAGAATAAAAATCAGAATTTCTTATTCTTTGGCCTTTGGCCACCGCTCAATGGACCTGATATGTCAGGCCTGAGCATTCCGAGATCAATGTTGAAATGGCCGAAGTGGATGTGTCCTAAATTCAAAGGATATGTCCAACATTTTCTGGTTGGTGGTTTCAAACATTTGGATTATTTTTTTCATATATTGGGAATGTCATCATCCCAACTGACGATTTCCATCATTTTTCAGAGGGGTGGCTCAACCACCAACCAGTTTTCCACAGCAAAACCAAATTTGGGTTTGTAAAAAGCCACGATGAATCCACCATTTCACGTGGTGTTTCGTGCGAAAGTCTGGACATATCTCACTTGGACCTCGGGCCGAACGTCAAGTTTCGTTTCTGAAAGATCCGAAAGTTGTCGGCGTACCGTACCCTAAAATCCAGCTTTTTCATCATATCTTTCCCATTAAAAAAATCGCCATAGATTGATAGATTGGCAGAACGTCCTTAAAGGTGAGGACCCCCCAGTGGTGTGAACGTTGGTAAACCCCATGAATACTAGTTCGTTGATCTCCCCCTCGTTGACCTAGTTGATCATAGTTGATCAAGTTATGATAGGTCAACTTAGCGATTTCATCAGCTATAAATCCCATTCAACACCTTTTTTGCTTGGTTCAATCCCTATTTTTCCATCGTTGTTCAGCATGTTCACCAGTGAAATCACCGTTTTCCGACGTTTTTTTCCAGGGCCTGGGGGCCCCAGGGGCTTCAGACGAGGTGATAAGAGCGCGCAGTTTGCTGTGGCCTGTCATCTCATTCCCTTGCCCGGCGAGGTGCGATTTTTTTCGGAAGTTGCGATGTGGATTTTAATGATTACCCTCTGGTAAACTAACATAGCTATTGAAAATGACCATTTATGGATTTTCCCATTGAAAATGGTGATTTTCTATAGTTATGTTAGTTTACCAGAGGGTAAAATACTATTGGTCTATTGGGATCACATCACACTCTTTCATAAATCTGGGTAAATTTGATCACGACCTCACTGTTCTCCCTCACTGGAAATCATAGTTAGCAAGGGAAATCATCCCCAAATAGCCTTAATTCAGGTTAGTGGAATATTATAATTTAGCCACATAAATGGTTTCAACATTGATTTTGGGATTATTTAATGCGATTTTTTATTTTCCCAATGGGAAATCCACCATGTGGGGAATCTATAGTGATTTTTTTAAGCAAATCACTTGAAATAATCATTTGCCACATTAGTCACTTAAATGATATCCCATTATGGTATCATACTAATGTGATATCATATATAGGCATATACAACCATTTACTAACTTAACACTATTTTTTATCATACTAATGTGGCAAATGGGATACCATGGTATGATAATATATATATATATATATGGGACGTCGTGGAATAGTATGCTACTGATATATGGAATATATGTATGATACTGGTATGATGGACATATATATATATACACACTGGTTGGTGGTTTGGAACATGTATTTTTACATTCAGTTGGGAATTTCATCATCCCAACTGGTCCGAAGTCCATCATTTTTCAGAGGGGTAGGCGAAAAACCACGGGATATCACGGGATACCATGCTGTACATGGGTAAATTTCCCCAATAATCCAATAGCATAAAGCCAGTAGTAGACATGTGTAATGGGATACAATGGGAATAATGTGGTACATAGTACATCCGATAAGAATGTGGTACCCAACTTCGAGACATAATCCACAGTGGAAGAATGGAGATCAAATCAATCAAAATAAATCCACATGATTTGAAATGGGCAGAACCCCATCACCAGAAATGCAGTCATTTCATTAAACAAATGCGAGGTCAGAGCGCGATGATTTTTTAAGGGGAGGCGGAGGTCTCAATCAAAATGCTGGTCTAATCAAAATCACTGGATCTATGGGAAGATCACCAACTGAACAGATAGAAACTAAATAACAAATCCTTTTGTTATTTAACATAGCCATGGAGAATGGCCCATAGAAATAGATGGTTTACCTACTAAAAATGGTGATTTTCCATGGCTATGTTAGTTTACCAGATGGTAATCCTTTTGTTTTTGTTGCTACAAATAGATTATATAAATAGACAATAAGCTGCCAACCAGCAAAAGATTGATTTTGTTGTGGACTACCCTCTGGCAATTTTTCACATAGCTAGTGAAAATGGCCCATTTATAGTTGATGTACCTATCAAAGATGTGGATTTTCCAGTTTGCTATGTTGGTTTACCAGAGGGTATTGACGGTATTGACCATGCTCTTGTATCTTTTAAGATCTTTCAAGGACAGAAAATTGATAGGACCATCAGCTCGCGGGCCGGGCTCATGATGCTCATGATCCCACCAGGGGGATAGAAACGATATTGGATATGTTGGTTTATGGGATTTTATAACCAAGAAACGATCCATCAAAAGCTAAAAAGTTGCGATTTTGTTTTTTTCTAAAACGAGCAACTTCGCCAACTTTTCCTGGTGCACCACCTGTCATTCCGTTTGGGCCTCCAAAAAGGGACCCCTTCCGCCGCGCCGCGCTTTGGGCTTCCAGAACTTGACGCGCCCGCCGTCCGCCACCGTGCGTCCCGGGGCGTTAGCGCTGCCGCGCGCCCGCGGCGAGCGGTTTTCGCCATGATGAACATGGGAGGCATGGGAGGCATAGGAGGCGACTCCATGCAGAGCCAAGCAGTGATGCCCATGGGAGACTGGGCTAGGATTCGATGATTCGCCGATATTTTAACGCATCACTAGTGACTAGTCACCGGATTGGGGACAGTGAATTCCGAGGGAAGACAGAGCTGATGTGCAGTTTCCTTTTTCTCCAGGTGAGCAATCAAAACCCCTGTTGGTTGATGATTGTAGGGGGGTTATACTATCCAATATATTGAGGATTACCACAATCCATGGTGGGATTTCCTATTAACCAACCACTATAAATCGACAGAGAGTTTTGAAGCCTGGTCAGGTAAAGTCGTGTTTTGTAGGCAAAAAAACATGTGAATGTCCAGCTATCAAAGGGTGCGGGACATGTGACTTGGGACGGGGCAACTGAGCTGAATTGTGTTACGTGAACATCGACAATTACTACCTAGTTGGGAAAACAATTTATGACAACTTCCTTCAAGCCTCCTTTATTTTTGTTCTGTGAATCAAATCCTGGTGATTCCTTGAAAGCGTTCAGATGAGGGCCTTTATCGATAGGAGAAAACAACAGGTTTGACAGCGTAAAAATCATGTGTTGATGATCTGGTAAAGGTATAAATGGAATATTTTCATGATTTTTCCATTCACAGAGTATATTGCCAGAGGGCATCTCATATAATATAATCGTGCCATCGCACTTTTTGCATACTGGACTCCACAACATGTACCAATTCACAAGTGCCCGTGGGTTTTCCAAAATAGACAGAAGGTTGACAGGTCATCCCAACTGCATTCCACCACCACTTTCTTCGATGCTTCTCAGGAAATGGCATGGGTGGTGGCATGGGCGGCTGCATGGGTGGCATGGGTGGCATGGGTGGCGGTATGGGTGGTGGCATGGGAGGTGGTATGGGCATGATGGGCAAGGGTGGCATGATGGGCAAAGGCGGCATGGGGATGGGATGCATGGGCAAAGGCATGGGCTGCAAAGGCCCCATGGGCCCCATGGGGAAGGACACTTGGAAGCATTGGCGCGGAGAGCCATCAACTTGACTTGGGGGGTGGAACGTACAAGCAACCCTTCCAAGAAGTATCTTTACAAGGGACTCTGTCGGACTCTGTCGGATGTTTTTTCTGATTTCCCAACTCCCTTGGTTGATTCTGATTGTTGCTTTCTAAATGCAGATCGCTGCTGGACAATTTGTGACCACAAAAACCATCAGCAGAAATGTTGGTCAAATGGTGGACACCATTGCCTTTAATCTGATTTAGGATTAATTCTAAACTATATATATATATTACATGATAAACATGATAAACATTCTTACCAATTTTGCAGATGTGGGAACAGACTCCAAACATTGAAAAAGGGGTGAGACCTATATTCATCGCAAACCTGCACAGATTCCTCGAGGCTTAGCACAGAAAGTCAGGCTAAGCGCATCTGTGGTTATTTGATGTTATATGAAAACATGGCAATCTGATATGGGAGTCTAATTTACCCTTTTCTACTATTACTATACAGGATGGTGCCCCCCAGTGATGTTTGTTGGTTTATATATAAACCCCGTAGTATACATGGTGACAATCTGCTACTACGGGCCTTGAAGGATCATCAGGAGTAGTAAGTGGTGAAGATCACCATAGTAAGTCCCCAGCCATCGTGGGCTCATCCCATAAAAAAAAAGTCTGGGTAAATTTCATCACTACCGAAGCCTGTTCTCCCGAACCCTGGTTCGTAATGGTTTATTTCATGGCAATCATCCCCTTGGCCGAAGAATTCAGGTTAGTGAAATATTATTTTATCTGGTTGGTGGTTTGGAACATTTTTTATTTTGCCATATATTGGGAATTTCATCATCCCAACTGACCAACTAATATTTTTCAGAGGGGGTATACCACCAACCAGTTATAATTTACCCAGATAAGTGGGTGAACCAACCCCAGTTACTAACCATGTACACTGCCACTCCCAAAACATCTCAGCAGAATTCAATGAGGGGCCAGCAGCCCCAGTTGAGCCATGAACAAAATAGCCTGGTTGATAGGATATTTTTGGGAATTACAACCAATTTATTGGGGATTGTTATAACCCATAGTAGGGAAACCGTTTTCAACCAACCAGTACAATGAGATGGGAAAACGGAGTATTTTTAACGACCCTACTTGAATTCCATTTAGTGGTTCATCCTACTCAAAGTAAGTGAGAAATCAACGTATCACAGAACGCACTACAGGCCTGGGTAGTTCTGTCGGGTAAATGGGATTCGTCCATTGGTTCGAAGCGTGGTGAAGCGCCAGCCAAGTAGCTGAGGGCATGATGGGCATGGGCTGCATGGGTGACTTGGCTTTGATGATCCTGGTGCGGCATTGTGAGTTGGAAATAGTTGGAAGACAATCCCCAAAGCATCAAGAGTCACAATGGGCTGCATGCATGGATTGTTGTAGAGGAAACACATCACCAACTTCATCAGGAAACACATGCTCTCCGGACTTTGGGAAGTTGGTGCCAGTGTGGTGATGTGAACGTTGGCTTATAAAGGTTTAATTGCCCCAGAATAGTAGTTCGATACATCATACGGTGGCTGGAAGAAATCCTGCACCAGTTCATAGGTGGTTTATTCCGTTATTCATAGGCTTTCTACCATCCCAGGTGGTGCAGGATTTCTTCCATCCACAGTATATCTATAACATCATCAACCCATTCGTGAAATTGGAGGTATGTTCACCAACTGAGCGATTTAGCGAAGAATTGGGTACCACATGGCACCACCTTATAGTCATTGATGGGATTGTAACTTGGATGTTCATCTACACATTCTTTGAGATCGCAACGATATTGATTTCAATAGGTGTAGCTTTCTAAAAGACATCAATCCGACAAAGCTTTCTAAAAGAATAACTTTTCTCCCAATTCTTTGAGATTGACCTTTCTCCCTTTCTTTTTTTTCTGATCTTTTTCAGGCCCCGAAATGGCTGATCAAAGAAGAAGTCGTAGCCGCTATGGATTGGTAAATGATCCATTGATGATTTGACGACAACAAAAACGACTTTTAACCGACCAATCCAAAGGCTACGACGATGGAGTTATCCATCGATTTATCCATCGTAAATTTTACCATTGATTTGACCATAGCGGTTTCGTAGCCTTTGAAGTTACAGATGATTTCACTACCCTCTGGTAAACGTTTACATAACTATGGAGAATCACCATGCTATTAATGGGAAAACACTATTTCTATGGCCATTTTCAATAGCGAACTGTTAAATGACCAGAGGGTACATTTGACGAGGTGATTTTTTATCGCGATGTGAAATTCGCGGAGGAGATTCTTGACCAATTCCAAATTACTTAGAGACAACCCCCGAAGCATATTGGTGGCGATATATCTATCACATTATATATATATGTAATATTATATATACCTTATCATATACATATATACCTATCATATGTGTATATATATATACACACCTATCATAACATATACATATACATATATATATGTATAGATAGCTATACCTATCACATATATATATATATATCACATACATATCCCCACATCATGGTAGGTGATCGGATGGAGCCAATCTGAGTGGATTTTGGTTGCTTAAATCCCCATCGTTGCTGGTGAAAGATTGACCTCCTGCTGGTGAAATATCCAATTTTTGTTGTTAAAGCGATAAACATGATAGGTATAGCTGTCTATATATATTTTCCATGTTGATTTATATATAAACATATAGTATTTTCCAGCCACTAACTATAAATATTTTCCAGCTGTTTAATTTTGTTGTTTAAACCGATAAAAAGCTAATTTTAGATGGCTGTATCCCCATGTTTGCTGGTGAAATCATGTTAGTTCCATGGATTTTTTTGATCGAATCGATTTTTGGCTGCTTAAATCGCATTTATTCTGGTTAAAATAAACGTATGCTAAACATCACATTTTTCTTGCAGGATGGTGCCCAGTGATGTGAATGTTGGTTTATAAACCCGATGAACTATAGTTATATCTACCAGAAAGCATAGAATTCAGCCGTTTACAAGGTAACTTAGCCAACTATGGGGCCCCCTCCTCTGGTGAACTCCCCCAAACTTCGGCACTGTGTGACTCGAGGCAAGGGCGATGCCTGGGGTGGCAAGGGCTGGGGTGGAGACATGAGTTGCTTGGCAGTCATAGAACTGCGGTGGATGGGAATATTCATGGACCTTATAATTTGTTGTGAATGATCATATTGGATGATCATATTTGACATATCATAGTATCAATGGCCTACAGTATCATAGTGGATGAATATACAATGAATATGATGTGGGGCCCCCAGTTATAAGTTGGTTTATAAACCCCATTAACTATAGTTATTTGCGTACCATAAACCATAGTGAAATGGGAGTTATAAACGCACCAACTTAGCTATCGTTTGGGGGCCCCACATTGTATGATGTGGGGCCCCAACAATGCCATGTTTACCATCCCCCATCACCATTGATTATCCATGCGTATCCCATTGAATAACCCACCCCACAAAAGGAGGAACTAACCCTACAGGATGGGGCCCCAGAGTTGGCTAAGTTGGGAAAAATATAGGTGGCAGAATTCTATGGTTTATGGTAGGACATTTCAAAGAATCCTCACTAGAATGAGGATATGTTTGAACATCCGATATGCTATCTACTCCAGCAGGAGAATAATTACAACCAACAGTATGCGATAAAGTAGTTAATATATTCTGAAAATAGTTTCCCTCTGGTTATTTAACATAGCCATGGTATAGATGGCCCATAGAAATAGATGCTTTACCTTTTGGTTTACCTATTAATAGCATGGTGGATCTTTCCATGGCGAACTGTTAGTCATAACCAGAGGGTTTTTCTATCATAGTTATTGGAGTCTATTTGCCGAAAACCATGTCTTTGGATGGTAGGTAGGGATATCTATCTATGAGAATATTTCAGAATACATAATTAATTATATATACCATCTGGTAATTTAACATAGCTATTGAAAATGGCCATTTATAGTGGATTTACCCATTGAAAATGGTGATTTTCCATAGTTATGTTAGTTTACAAAGTGGTGCCCCCAAACGATAGTTAAGTTGGTGCACATAACTCCCATTTCACTATGGTTTATGGCAGATATAACTATAGTATTCATGGGGTTTATAAACCAATTTATAACTAGGGGGCACCACATTGTATCTATAATGCTAGATTTATCTATATTTAGAAAAAATGGGTGACATGTCTATCTACATCTTTGCTGTTACCATATATACTTAATATATCTATGGTAGATCATCACAGGATGGTGCCCCCCAGTTATAAGTTGGTTTATAAACCCCATTAACTATAGTTATATCTGCCATAAACCATAGTTTTAATGAGAGTTATTTGCACCAACTTAGCTAACTATGGGGCACCACCTTGCATGGATAGATACCATGATATGGTGATTGTTTGATGCTTAGATGATCTGATCCAAAAAGTGGAGCTTTGCAGGACCGGCAGGACCTCCCGAATAATTTTAGGCTCACCAGGTCGAGTGTAGCCGAAAGGTTTTTTTTGAACACTGAAATCTTAAACATAGCCTCGTTGATTGTTAATATAGGGACTTATACTACCTAAATTATTGGTTCATAGGGGGTTTTACTACCTGGGTCATTGGGGATTTTTTTGCAGCCATAATAGGGAAAATTATCAACCAACTATCAATTATACTAATTGGGGATTATGATTAATACTACCTAATTTATTGGGGATTATGATAAGCCATGGGAAACCTATCAACCAACCATGGATATTTCAGTGAATAAGACCCTCCGGTAATCAAACGTGGCTATGGAACGTTCACCATTTAGTTCGACGATTTTACCAGCGAACTAAACCTCCATTTAGTTCGTGGATTTCCAATTGCTATGTTCGAAAACACCGGAGGGTACATATTTTTTTTTGTAGATACCCCGTGTTTGGGCAAATCCGAAAAAACACTGACCCGGCAAGTTTGGCTCAGCTAACAGATCCATTCTGCGATGTGACATGACTAGCTCTCAACGCACGTCTTCATGGACTTGATGTTGAAGAGGTTGCCCTGATGCTAAACACAACCTACCCTCTGGTTATGTCAAAATAGCTATTGAAAATTGCCATAGACATAGTGAGTTTTCCCATTAATAGCATGGTGATTTTCCATAGTTATGTAAACGTTTACCAGAGGGTAAGCGCAAGGTTTCAAAAAGAAAAGTTCCAATGCCAAATCCGTAAAGCATGGCAATTCCTGTGAAATTCCCGCGTGCTTTTATTGATAATTTTGGGCATGACTTTAGCAATTGCCTGCACTATCGCGATCAAACCCGATAAGTCCCGCCAGGACCATTATATCCCATTATATTGTCCCTCAATGTTGTATACCCTCGGGCAATCAAACAACATGGCAATGGAAAGTTCCCCCAGTGGACAACATGGCTACGTGGATCCATCATCTGCTGACAAAGGTGCAGCAGGTGAAACTGATGAGGTCGAGCTTCAGGTACAGTGCTTGACTGGAGAAGGAGTGACACTGAGCGTCAGTCGCTCCATGCTTGGGTCTGACCTACGCAGGTTGGTGTCAGAGAATCTTTCATGCAAGCCAGGCGCAAAGCTCGTCGTGCATCATGTGAATGGAAAGCTGACGCTGAATGAAAACTTGAGAGACCAAGGGATTGTTGGAAAAACCGCAGTGCTGTCCTGCACTTACATACCAACTGATGTGTATACAGCATGGCGCTATGCCTGTGAACTCCCAACTTGTGAGAGAGAGTTTGCGCTTGAAGGTGTTACACGTCTTGAAGGAGCAATCAACCGAGAACATCTACACCATCTCCCCTGCAGCCTTGCAAGCCTGACTTTTAGCGAGCATTTCAACAAAAGCCTGGAGCAGGTGACCTTGCCATCAAGTCTTCAAAACTTGAGTTTTGGCCTTCATTTCGACCAAAGCCTGGAGGGGGTGACGTTGCCATCGGGTCTTCAAAGCTTGAGCTTTGGCGAGTATTTCCACCGAAGCCTGGAGCGGGTGACCTTGCCATCGAGCCTTCAAAGCTTGAGTTTAGGCAATCATTTCAACACAAGCCTGGAGCGGGTGACCTTGCCATCGGGTCTTCGAAGCTTGAGTTTTGGCCGTCGTTTCAACCAAAGCCTAGAGCATGTGACCTTGCCATCAACTCTTGAAAGCTTGAGTTTTGGTTACACTTTCAACCAAAGCCTGGAGCGAGTGACCTTGCCGTCGAGTCTTCAAAGCTTGAGGCTTAGCTACTGTTTCAACCAAAGTTTGGAGCGGGTGACCTTGCCATCGGGTCTTCGAAGCTTGAGTTTTGGCGATGAGTTCAACCAAAGCCTGGAGCGGGTGACCTTGCCATCGAGTCTTCAAAGCTTGAGCTTTGGCCTTCGTTTCAACCAAAGCCTGCAGCAGGTGACCTTGCCACCGAGTCTTCAAAGTTTGACTTTTGGCCGTCACTTCACCCCAATGGAGCTGATGTCCTTGCCATTGAGCCTTCAAAGCTTGAGTTTTGGTTACAGTTTCAACCAAAGCCTGGAGCGGGTGATCTTGCCATCGAGTCTTCGAAGCTTGAGTCTTGGCTACTGTTTCAACCAAAGCCTGGAGGGGGTGACCTTACCATCGGGTCTTCGAAGCTTGAGTTTTGGGGCTGAGTTCAACCAAAGCCTGGAGCGGGTGACCTTGCCACCGAGTCTTCAAAGCTTGAGTTTTGGCGTGTATTTCAACCAAAGCCTGGAGCCGGTGACCTTGCCATCGAGTCTTCAAAGCTTGAACTTTGGTGATAATTTCAACCACACTCTGGAGCGCGTAAGCTTGCCATCGGGTCTTCAAAGCTTGAGTTTCGGTTACGATTTTAACCAAAGCCTGGAGCGGGTGACCTTGCCATCGGGTCTTCAAAGCTTAAGTTTTGGCAATCATTTCAACCAAAGCCTGGAGCAGGTGACCTTGCCATCGAGTCTTCAAAGCTTGAGTCTTGGCTTTCGTTTCAACCAAAGCCTGAAGGGGGTGACCTTTCCATCAAGTCTTCAAAGCTTGAGTTTTGGTTGCAGTTTCAACCAAAGCCTGGAGGGTGTGACCTTGCCATCGGGTCTTCGAAGCTTGAGTTTTGGGGCTGAATTTAATCAAAGCCTAGAGCTGGTGACCTTGCCATCGGGTCTTCAGAGCTTTGCCGCGCCTAGTCGTGGCCGTTTATCATGCAATGTCTTTGTGAGTTCTGCTGGCTGTGCTTAGTTTGTTTGACGCTTTCCCCGATATCGAAACAAAAGAGGCCTGCGTTCCCAGGGAAATCCGTAGGAAGGAGATAAGGGCCCTGGTGAGGGGAATCATCCCCAAATACCTTCATAAATAGCTATTTTTAGGCTCAGGTTAGTGAATTCTTCGTAAATATAGTATAATTATGTATAATTCATCCAGATATTTTTGACATTTGGATACATTTGGATACATTTAGATACATTTAGATACATTTAGGCATATTTTGGGCAAATCAGAAGAAGTGATTGTGTACATCCCAGAAACAGCCAAGAGGACGACCATGAATGAAAACCCAGTTTTACGACGGGGAGTAAAAAGCCCAGGTGTATATGAGCTATTAAGCATTGACTAGTTGGGTCCTGCACCCCCAAGTACACCACTTGGATAGAAGATATAGAAGTACGGCAACGTTACTATGGCCTCTTGAAAAAGTCTAGAAATCTTCGACACATTTTCCCAGAATCATAGACAAATCATAGAGCCAATCTAGCCTGGACAAGTAGACATTCAATTCATTTACCCAGCTATATTCCCCTATGAATGTAGGTTTCAATGGGCCCCCGTTGGATAGCGTTCAGTTGCCTTATTTTTCTGGCTGAATTCTATGGTTTATGGTAGATATAACTATAGTATTCATGGGGGTTATAATGGTTTATAAACCAACTTATAACTGGGGGGGCCCATCCTGTAAATGTTCAACTCCCAGGTTTTCGACTAAACATGGACCAAGAAAGTCTGAGATCACGAGATTCATTTGGAATCTGGAAACAAGTAGTGTGACAAACCCAAAACCATAGACCATCCCCAAATTCAACAAAAATTGGTAGTATAAACTTATTAACCATATGAACATTAAACAATAATAAGCACATAAAAGCAATATGAACTATTAATGCTATAAACCTACTGTGGATGGTTGCGAAATCCCCACGAGGATGGCTGAAAGCCAAACAAAATCATGGGGTAGGCATGAATAAACCACCTATGAACAGATGTATGTTTTTTGGGCCGATGAAAAAAAGAGAGAGCGGGTAGTCATGGGGGGCGAGGTTGTGAAAGTCCTGATTTTGTTATATTAGTCACTAAATTCATAATTATATCAGTCATTACATTAATCATTATATTAATCATTATAATATTCATTATATAAGTCATTAAATGAATCATTAGATTAATCATTTTATTTATCATGATATGAATCATGATATTAATCATTATATTAATCATTAAATGTATGTAAAATCATTATATTAGTCATTTTATAAACCATTCAAAGAATCATTCAATTTAATCACTATATTTATCAATTTATCATTCTATGAACCAATTATATCATTATATTTATCATTCATTAATCATGATATTAATCGTTATATTAGTCAATAACTGAAAAAAATAATATCAGCCATTACATAAATCATTAAATTAATCATAATATAAATTATTATATTCAGCGTTATAATAGTCATTATTTTAATCATTTCATTAATCACTATATATTCAACATTATATTAATCATAAAAATAATCATTACATTACGCGTTGTTTACATTTATATATTCATTAAATTAGTCATTATATAAATCATTATATAAATCATTCATTTAATCATTATATCAATCATCATAATCACAACTATATTAATCATGAAATGAACAATTTTATTAATCATCACATTAATCATTATACTAATCATCATATTAGTCATTATATAAGTCATTAAATGACTCATTAGATTAATCATTATATTTATCATTATATGAATCATGATATTAATCATGATATTAATCAGTATATTAATCCTTATATTAGTCATTATATAAGTCATTAAAAGATTCATTAAAAAAATATATTTATCATTCTATGAATCATGTTATTAATCATTATATTAGTCAATAAATTCAAAATTAAATCAGCCATTACATAAATCATTATATTAATCATTATATTAGTCATTATATGAGTCATTAAATGAATCATGAAATGAATCATTATATTTATCATTATATGAATCATTATATTAATCATTTTATTAATAACTATATTAGTCAGTGTATTAGTCAGTATATTAATCATTGCATTCATCATTATATGAATCATGATTATAATCATGATATTGATCATTTTATTAATCATTATATTAATCATTATATGAATCATGATATTAATCATTATATTAAGCATGAAAATCATAATTATAACAATGATTACATTGACCATTATATTAATCATTTTATGAACCATGATATTATTTATTAAATAAATCATGATATATATATAATTATTATATTAGTCATGATATAAATCATTAAATGAAGTTTGGTTTTTCATGTTTTTTTTTGCAATTTGGCCTGGGGGGCGCAGGTGTGCAAATTGTAGAAACGCGCATTTTTTGAGAGGTACTGTGATGAAAGCACATTCACATGAAAACCATGCAAAAAAACTATGGGAAAATAGAAAACAAAAAAACAAAAAGTCCAGACCCATGGGCAAGGTCTGGGGAGAGGCCTGGCTGGGGACATGGGTCTGAACTTTTTTTTTTTGTTTTTTTGTTTTTCCCATTGTTTTTTGCAGTTTGGCCAAAACCTCGAGAAAACAAAAAAAACAAAAAAAAACAAGAAGTTCAGACCCATGGGCAAGGTCTGGGGAGAGGCCTGGCAGGGGACATGGGTCTGAACTTTTTTTTTGGTTTTTCCATTGTTTTTTGCAGTTTGGCCAAAACCTCGAGAAAACAAAAAAAACAAAAAAAAACAAAAAGTTCAGACCCATGGGCAAGGTCTGGGGAGAGGCCTGGCAGGGGACATGGGTCTGAACTTTTTGTTTTTTTTGTTTTTTTGTTTTTTTTGGTTTTTCCATGGTTTTTTGCAGTTTGGCCAAAACCTCGAGAAAACCAAAAAAAACAAAAAAAACAAAAAGTTCAGACCCATGGGCAAGGTCTGGGGAGAGGCCTGGCAGGGGACATGGGTCTGAACTTTTTGTTTTTTTTTGTTTTTTTGTTTTTCCATTGTTTTTTGCAGTTTGGCCAAAACCTCGAGAAAACAAAAAAAAACAAAAAAAAACAAAAAGTTCAGACCCATGGGCAAGGTCTGGGGAGAGGCCTGGCAGGGGACATGGGTCTGAACTTTTTGTTTTTTTTGTTTTTTTTGTTTTTTCCATTGTTTTTTGCAGTTTGGCCAAAACCTCGAGAAAACCAAAAAAACAAAAAAAACGAAAAAGTTCAGACCCATGGGCAAGGTCTGGGGAGAGGCCTGGCAGGGGACATGGGTCTGAACTTTTTGGCTTTTTTTTGTTTTTTTGTTTTTTTTTGTTTTTCCATTGTTTTTTGCAGTTTGGCCAAAACCTCGAGAAAACCAAAAAAACCAAAAAAAACAAAAAGTTCAGACCCATGGGCAAGGTCTGGGGAGAGGCCTGGCAGGGGACATGGGTCTGAACTTTTTGTTTTTTTTGTTTTTTTGGTTTTTCCATGGTTTTTTTGTATGTTTTTCATGTGAAGATGCTTTCATCACAGTACCTCTCAAAAAATGCGCGTTTCTACAATTTGCACACCTGCGCCCCCCATGAGTACCCCTTCTGAAAAAAAACATGGTTTTGGCCTCTGAGGCATGAAAGGCAAAGCCAAAGGCCCGAGGGCCCGAGTCGGTGAAATGGCTGGTAGGTGAAATGCTGGGGACGATGTTCAGTTTTAGCTTTGAAGTATCTTTGGGGTTTTACTATGCCCACAGATGCAGAACAGTAAACACATTATCACATATTATCACTATTTTAGTCGGATTTTACCAACTTCTATCTGAACTTGGGGATTACTATAGTTATCTATAGTCTATTTTTGACAGTGGCAACCAGTGGTGTTTTTCTTTCTCCAGGTGTTTGATCCTGTGGCCCCAAGAACCAGAAATTCGACAAAGGGCTGGTGAAAACCATGGTACCCTCTGGTAAACGTTTACAGTTTGCGAACTGGAAAATGGCCCATAGAAATAGATGGTTCACCTATTAAAAAAGGCGATTTTCTATAGCTATGTTAAATTACCAGAGGGTAATAAATCTGAAGATTCTCTATATGGAGGTTTTCAAAAAATGGCTACATTTTTCCGTTGATAAGAACACATTTTTGGAGGATTTTGGGGTCACTTTTTTTTGGACCCCATATGACATGGGATGCTTGGCAAGCGGGTGTTCCAGGGAAAAAAAACAAGGGATCTTTGGGACATTTCGGAGCGGCTAAAAGGAGCTTTTGAACATTGAAAAAGTATTGGTTCGAGGTGACATCTCCATAATTCCATAGATGTCCCAAATTCCCATTGGTTGGTTGATGAAAATAGAGGGCTTTGAAGGTTTACCCCGAAAAAACAACAGGTTTCTATGATGATAGATGGGATTAACCAGCTCCCGGCCCCTCTATTTTTACCAAAAGGACATCATTGGACATCTCCCCCATAATTAGTCTTCTGATGTGAACAAATGCGACATGTTTCATGACATGTATATACCAAGCCCTGAAATGGGAATATCGATAGCTAAGGTTAGGTTAACTATGGTTCATGGTATCGTTTGTAAACCAAGAAACATCACATTTTGGGGGCCCTCATCTTGGACATAAAGTTGATGAATTATATCCCGGTATTAGCTATATTTATATAATGTTATATATATGATATGTATATATATATGGGAAAATGGGAAAACACATATATCTATAGTATTGATGGGTTTATAAACCAACACATCAAAGTAATAGATATATGATGATATATGGGTTTACAAACCAACAAACTAATAGATATCCCATTAAATATCCCGCACTATTCCATTATTTATATGGCTAAAAAATCACGAGCGCCGACCGCTGGGGGATTACCAGGAAAGGGTAAGATCTCCGCCCGGATTGCTTCTGGAGATGCTTGGCTCGTGGCGAGTTCACGTGAAAAAATGCTGTAAAATGCGAAGATCATCATGTGAAACAATCACCAAACATCATTAAACATATAGTGATTAATATAGTTAATGAAACATAGGCTAATAATACAATTAATCCCTGTAATTAGCCTATTTCCATGGTGATTTTTAAGCATCATTAAACATAGGCTAATGATTATGGGGATGATAGGATTCCTCTTCATGGTAATTAACCCTATATTTTTTCATGAGAATTATCCCATAAGTTGGATTATGTTTTTTTTCTCCAACATATGGGGATGATTGATACATGTGAGTTTTCCATGGGGATAGAATGGGGATAAAAAACAATCGAAAATTCAGACAGAAAGGGATTTGATGGTGATTTGTCCTTGAAAAACCGGCAAGTTGGAGGTCGATGTGGCAAACTGTTCATTGGGAAACCATCTATGGCCATGTTTTCACCAAGAATGGGGATGTGACCATGAATGGGCATATTGTTGGTGATATTGGATGGTATTTGATGATGTATGATGATTTTTGATGAATGGTACATTGATATGTTTTCATCATGAATGGGCATGATGTTTTTTTTTTGTTTTTTTCTGGAGATATTGGATGATATTGATGATATTGTATGAGAATATCGTAGATGGGGATACTACACGTAAGCACCAGCATGTTTTTTTGGGTTTGTCTGAAAACATGTTTCCCCCAAGTTTGACGGTTTTAGACAATTCCTGGTTGGTGGTTTGGAACATTTTTTATTTTTCCATATATTGGGAATAATCATCCCAACTGACTTTCATATTTTTCAGAGGGGTTGAAACCACCAACCAGTTATGGACACATATACTTTGTGTACAGTATAATCAATAACTGAACGTTCACTTTCCTAATGATAGGCAACGTAGGTAACAGGTAAGGGATTTTATCCAGAAAAATAGAGGTCTTAATGATTAGCCACAGAAATTGGGGTCTGACAGGTGGTCGATTTATTCAGAATTTAGAGAGTGATCTGGGTTGTTTACAGCACACTGAAATGGCTTAAACAAACAGGCCCCAGAATGACCTTCGGGAAACATCAAGTTTCTGGCCAGCAGGTTCCCCATTTGCGGTACAGTTTATTCAGTTTATTCTTTCGGATTTATCCAGACACAGTTTATGCGCCCAGTATAACAGTTGGAGATATATGGGTTTGTCTGAAAATAGGGTATATTCCCAATTATAGCCATTTAATAGGGATAATGATCATTAACCATTGGGTTTAGGGGTACACTATTTTCAGACACACCCATATCAATGGATAAACCAATTGACCTATCATGAGCCAGAGAATCTGGGAGGGAAGCCTTGATACAATTTTGCTGTCCAAAGCATGGAAGTGTATCGACGATTCTGGGGAATCCTCAATGGCACCCTATGTGCAAATGTCAGGTTTGGATTAAAAAACACTGACAATTACCCTCTGGTAAACAAACAAAAAGCTATTGAACATGGCCATAGAAAGCTCGTTGATTTACCCATTAATAGCATGGTGATTTTCCAGTTCGCAAACTGTAAACGTTTACTAGAGGGTAGTTGGGTGGGTTCCAAAAAAGTGCTAAAGTGCTATTGAAATTGGTGCTAGCATATTCAGGAAAACTGGGGGTTTAGCCAAATAACCATGTTAACATAAATCACGATAGGCAAGATTGCCAAGATCTCTCGTCCAGTGGATAAATCCTACGGGATGGTCCCCCAGTGATGTGAATGTTGGTGAAAATAAACCCCATGAATACATCCATGAATACTATAGTTACTGCTTGGTGGTTTCAAACATGAATGGATTATTTTCCATTTCATATATGGGATGTCATCCTTCCCATTGACGAACTCATATTTTTCAAGATGGTTATTACACCATCAACCAGGTTATATCTACCATAAACCATAGAATTCAACCACAAAAATAAGACAACTGAGCGCAACCGTCAACGGGGGCCCCATAAAACAGTTACCCTCTGGTAATTTGTTACATAGCTATTGAAAATGACCATAGAAATAGTTGATTTACCTATTAATAGCATGGTGATTTTCCAGTTCGCAAACTGTAACCGTTTACCTTAGAGGTTATATGACATGACATGGCCATGAACTTTAGGAATTTTCCTCAGCTGAGCATGATGGATGTTTTCACATTGCCAGGTTTCCAACTTTTTGATCTATTCAGAGGTTGATATATATATATAAACTGGTTGGTGGCTTGGAACATGCATTTTATGACCTTCCATATATTGGGAATAATCATTCCAACTGACTTTCATATTTTCAGAGGGGTGTTTACGACTCTCCCTGCGCTGCTAGCCCAGATTCATAGCTACCGGTCATCTTAGACTCCTAGAAAATCCATAGAAACCCATAGAAACCCATAGAAACCCATAGAAATCCCATAGAAATCCCATAGAAATCCCATAGAAATCCATAGAAATCCATAGAAACCCAAAGAAATCCCATAGAAATCTCATAGAAATCCCATAGAAATCCCAAAGAAATCCCATAGAAATCCCATAGAAATCTCATAGAAATCCATAGAAACCCAAAGAAATCCCATAGAAATCCCATAGAAATCCCATAGAAATCCCATAGAAATCCCATAGAAATCCCATAGAAATCTCATAGAAATCCATAGAAACCCAAAGAAATCCCATAGAAATCCCAAAGAAATCCCATAGAAATCCCATAGAAATCCCATAGAAATCCCATAGAAATCCATAGAAACCCAAAGAAATCCCATAGAAATCCCAAAGAAATCCCATAGAAATCCCATAGAAATCCCATAGAAATCCCATAGAAATCCCATAGAAATCTCATAGAAATCCCATAGAAATCCCAAAGAAATCCCATAGAAATCCCATAGAAATCCCATAGAAATCCCATAGAAATCCATAGAAATCCATAGAAATCCCATAGAAATCCCATAGAAATCTCATAGAAATCCCATAGAAATCCCAAAGAAATCCCATAGAAATCCCATAGAAATCTCATAGAAATCCATAGAAACCCAAAGAAATCCCATAGAAATCTCATAGAAATCCATAGAAATCCCATAGAAATCTCATAGAAATCCCATAGAAATCCCATAGAAATCCCATAGAAATCCCATAGAAATCCCATAGAAATCTCATAGAAATCTCATAGAAACCCATAGAAACCCAAAGAAATCCCATAGAAATCTCATAGAAATCCATAGAAACCCAAAGAAATCCCATAGAAATCCCATAGAAATCCCATAGAAATCCCATAGAAATCCCATAGAAATCCCATAGAAATCTCATAGAAATCCATAGAAACCCAAAGAAATCCCATAGAAATCCCAAAGACATCCCATAGAAATCCCATAGAAATCCCATAGAAATCCCATAGAAATCTCATAGAAATCCCATAGAAATCCCAAAGAAATCCCATAGAAATCCCATAGAAATCCCATAGAAATCCCATAGAAATCCATAGAAATCCATAGAAATCCCATAGAAATCCCATAGAAATCCCATAGAAATCCCATAGAAATCCATAGAAATCCATAGAAACCCAAAGAAATCCCATAGAAATCTCATAGAAATCCCATAGAAATCCCAAAGAAATCCCATAGAAATCCCATAGAAATCTCATAGAAATCCATAGAAACCCCATAGAAATCCCATAGAAATCTCATAGAAATCCCATAGAAATCCCAAAGAAATCCCATAGAAATCCCATAGAAATCTCATAGAAATCCATAGAAACCCAAAGAAATCCCATAGAAATCCATTGCCCTTCGCTGCTGAGGAGCCTTTCTATGTGGGCCAGCTGAGGAAATACGATGCGGATCGATCTGCTGGTTCTATCGCCTGCAAGGAGGCCAAAACGTCTGCTGTACCGTCATGTTTGGGGTTTCCATCGGAGGTAACCTAAAATGGATGGGGCCCCAGTTCGTTAGCTAAGTTGGTTTATATGTAACAATAAGTATAGTGTATGATACTTGTAACTTATAACTATATTTAGATGGGTTTATACACCAACTTATGACTGGGGGGCCTCATCCTGTAAAATGGATGGTTTTTGCCGGGGAAAATCGCAATCTAAAATGGAGGATGACTTTTTTGGTACCCCCACGGATTGAAAACCTTCATATTTTTTTGGGGGGGTGCAAAACCGTAAAACCCATGAAAAATCCGATGGGTTCAGACCTTTCCAATCCAATTGAGCAAACTCAAATAGAACTCTCCAGGTTGGATGGTTAGTTTACCAGAGGGATGGGGATTCACCATCATTTACATTGATGATTAAAATTGCTTCAAAATGGTATATTAATGGTATATTAATGGATTTTACGACATAGCTATTGAACATGGTCCATTGAAATAGTTGATTTACCTATTGAAGATGGTGATTTTCCATAGCCATGTTAGTTTACCAGAGGGTATTTGCATGGATCTTTTTAAGCTACTTGGTGTCTCACTTACTGAGTAGGCTATATTCCCTTTTTTTTGTGGGATAAGTGATAAGTAGGGTTAGTCCACTTATAACTAGGGTGAACTAAGCTACATAGTAAGTGGGATGAACCACCGAGTATAGATCCATATGTTTTTAATTCTAAGCGTTTCTGGGCTTCGGTGGGATTGCCACATATCCCACCGAAAGATTAAACTCGTGGAAGGGGATCAACGAGCTATAGCAATGTGGGGGATTCCCAGTGATGTTTGTTGCTAAACCCCATTTACTACAGTTATAAGTATCATAAACCATAGTTATTGGAGTTATAAAGCCATAGTCTATTGGATATATATACTCCGAGGGTACATGCCCGAGACGCTTGCTTTACCACTTATTTGAGGCTCCGGTTTTGGGGTCCTGGGCCCACCTAGGCTTTGAGAAAAAGCGCCTCCAAAGCCTTAATACAAGGCCTACTAAGGCATGAGGTCCGAACAATGGCTTGGACGTGAAACTACTAAGCATATCGCGAAAAACTATTAAAGCACGAGTTGCTAATCACAATGGCTTGGACGCAAAACTACTAAGGAGTTCATGAAAAACTACTAAGGCATGAATTGCAAATCGCAATGGCTCGGACACAAAACTATTAAGAATGTCCCTCAAAATTCATTAAAAGAAGAAGATATTGTTTCTTTTATTATTTGCAGCATTTTCTTAGTAGTTTTGCGACCGAGCCAACACGAATTGCTAAATCGTCGTTAGTAGCTTTTGAACGCGTTCTTAGTAGCTTTGCGGCCAAGCCAATATGAAATGCGACACCGCGCTTAGTAGCTTTTGAGCACATGCTTAGTAGTTTTGCGGCCAAGCCAATGCGAATTGCTAATTTAACGCTGCTTCCGCGTGATGTATGTGGATATGTGCGCGCAAACATGGCCCCGTTCCCCAGGAATCAACGTTGCCACTCACAAAAGTTAGTCATGGTGTTTTTCCTGGTGTAGCTGCTTTGCAGAGTGCGGAAGTAAGCCAACTTTGATGTCTGGGGGTGCCGGGGGTTGCACCGCAGGGTTCTGTACACTGCCGCTGGCGGTACGCATGTCTTTGCATTGCTTGTGGCAGTCGTGCTTGCTGCAGAACAGCACGGGCATCCCTGCACCTTTTGAAACGTTCCTTTTTGGCTTGAGCTGCGACGTGGACCCATTTTTGGTGGGCCTGCATGCTTTTTGCCTTCCTTCACTGCGTACCCTGCATGTGAAACCGGCATCCTGGCACCAAGGGCAAGAAAACATGAATGGAAGATGCAACCTGTCACAGCTCAACGCACTCTGCAGAGGCAAAACGGCCCAAAATTGGGGCCACAAATTTGGAAGCTGGGCTAATAATTTTAGTATTGTGGCCCTCCAGAATCTGGCCCCTGTTTTGGAGCCACAAAACACAAACAGGAGCTAGCCAATACGGGCACCAAGTGTGCTACTGCCGACGCAAGCTGACAGCAGCACATATCCATGATACTGTATATATATATATGTAACTGTCCTTATATCCGTCATAAAACCTAGTTAACCAAGTTGTGTGTGTCAGCTTAGCTATCGTAAATGGGGCCTCACCTCGTGAAATGCAACGTGTAAAAACCCAGATCTGGATACCAAGAAATCTTCTTCCTTCGCCACGTCCGCAAGAGGTCTACCAGATGTGCGGCCAAGAGGTCTATGCCCACAAGTCCGTCCCATGGCCCACAAAGAATATGGGAATGGGTTGAAATTGGCTAATTCCAATCCCAAATATCCCAATGTTTTAACCCTTCCCAATATGAAAGCAACACCATACGGGATTCCAAAACACATAGATCCAATACATCCAGTACTAAACCAGATTTTCTAGAGGGGTATCTAATAATTTGATCATTAGTATCCGCAAGAAACCCCGCAGAGACAAGACATGACCAATCTTGCGACCACAATCTGCTGCATAGGTAGAAACTAATCCTTTGGTTTTTTGCTATGGAAACGGTTCATTTTTTGTGGACCACCAAAGATTGACCATGACACCATCAGATTCTTGGCTTCTCATTTCTTTGACTTGTAAGAATGGATCGGAGAGAACCTGACCAAGATGACCAACCTGAGTATCTTCAACGGAAACCTTTCTGGCTTTAAGCTGAAGTGAAATTTTGAGAACTTCATGGGTGTCAAAGCGACAAAATATGATGAAATAGTGGCTGGAAATAGGGTACCCTCTGGTAAACGTTTACAAAAAACTATGGAAATTCACCATTTTTCATGGGGAAATCAACGCAAATGGCAATTTTCAATAGTTTTTTGTATGTTTGCCAGGGTATCCCAAACCTATTGCGGTTTATAATCATTTTAAGATGAAAAAACCTGCCATTTGGGGGTAACATTTCAAGACACACCCTCAAATATGTGGAGATTCATGGACCATCCATACAACAACATGCAATTTCTTACATTTTGGTAGAAATCCCAAAAAAACATGCCGATTTGAGTGTTTCCAGGATGGCAATTTGATGATATTAAACACATGCTTCTAGATGTTCATCCTTTCCTTTCAACCATTCTACCAGTATAACCAGGGACGAGATAGTGATATTTCTCCCAGCTCAGCCGGCCGGATGATATCGAGGTAGCAAAGCCGAAACATATGGTTTGGTGAAATATACAACGTCAAGTTCCAGTATCCATGTCCCATCAATATCTTCATTATACAACCATATTATGGTTGGTTTACCGCATTGTTAACAAATCCGAATAACTATTCCACTATTCCACTAACATCGTTAGCATCCATGGATTACATCACTCGTATCCCATATCCGACAATCATACCCTCCGACAATCAAGTGTTTATAGATGGTCTTCCCAGCTATAAACCTTCACTGGTTGGTGGTTTGGAACATTTTTTATTTTTTCCATTCAGTTGGGAAGAATCATCCCAACTGACTTTCATATTTTTCAGAGAGGTTGAAACCACCAACCAGTTCATGTATGTTTCTTTCCTGCTAGCCACATTACCAGAGGATATCCCCATCAAATCCCCATCATTATTCACTAGTCCATTAGGGTTGGTAATTATACCCATTCATCCATTAGCCATTTCTCCATTAGTCATTTATCCATTATATAGTTATATCTATCATAAACCATAGTTAAGCCACTTGTTTTAGGCAACTGAACGCTATCTTGGCGGCCCCATCCTGTAGTCAGAATCATTATTTCCTCTGGCCTTAAATTCCTACTGTAGATCCTATTCACATCCTATTCACGTTGTCCTATTCCAGGTGCTCGAGCAGAGACAGATGGGCGTAGGCGACACCATCGTCTTTTTGCTCCACTGGAATTCACGGGGCCAGCCGCAGTGCTCCTTGGAGTCTCTCAGACTTCACAGCAAGGCGCGGAAGATGACGAAGATGACTGCTGGAGCTGGATGTCCCACTCTTTTAGTGGTTGATCAGGATAGGATTCACCAAAAAACAATCACTAGGTAGATGATAATCAATATGAATAATATTCCAAATCGGCCACTCTATTTCTTCCTCTGGTAGTTTACATACTTTTCACACTACTTATTAATGGTTTATACCCCGGATGGTGCTTTAAACACGCAAAATTGTGATTTTACCAAAAACAACGCTACTCCTTAACCAACCCAAATAGTGGTTCTACCAATCAAGATGCCGATTTTAAGCAACAATCAGGCTTGCTCCAACCAATGGCCATTTCAGGAACCGATTCATTGGAGGTACCTACCATATATAAGGCTTATATAAGGCCTATGAACAGGTAGTGCCAAAATTATAGAACGAAATTAGGAGTAGAAAAGTACGGTAAAATACCGTACCTTCGGATCCCGATTCCGCGCGGATTCGGATCCTGTTCTATAATTAGTTTTTCCGTTCTGTAATTAATTTTTCCGTTCCATAATTTCTGGCACCACCATGATATTCATTGCATATTTGTACATATACAGTACATTAATTATAGAACGGAAAAAGTAATTATAGAACGAAACTGGCAAATGTGGGAAAAATGGGGGAAAACACAATTATAGAACAAACCAGAATTATAGAACGACGAAGACAATTAGGAGTAAGTTAAGATAAGATTTTTTTCTCATACCTTCCGAGGAACACAGAATTATGGAACAAAAGGGTACGGTAAATAACCGTACCTTCGTACTCCTCAACTTCCGTTCTATAATTTTGGCACTAACCATAAGGGAATATCCCCACAAAATATGGCCAGAAATATGGTACTAACGTACCTCCATTTTAGGATCCTGGAATTCCCATTGAACCAACTGCGGGTGATAGCCACGGGACGAAAATGGGGCAGCCATCCCGCAGTCCGAAAGATGTGCTTCGCATCCCATCTCATCCACCACGGGTTGCTGCGGGGTGTTCGGCAACCGTAGTTTGTTTTTTTTGAAGGCCAAAGATCTTAGGGTAAATTATACATTTTGGGGCACGGAATATACACCTTTCAACATTCAAGATGGAACCCTGACAGTTGGTTCATACAACAGGACAATCATCAACACTGGGAACCCCATTTTTCTTAGTTCCATGGGAATTTTGAAGGGTAAGGCTATAAGATGTTATAAGCCATCTATGAGTGGTGAAATCATGTTAAATCATCTCAACTCCCATGAGGTAAATCCAATTTTGGTTGATGTTCACAGCAGCATTTTTCTTGGGTATAAGTTCTACAATCTCATTCTGGTTGGTGGTTTGGAACATGGATTTTATTTTTCCATATATTAGGAATAATCATCCCAACTGACTAATATTTTTCAGAGGGCTGGCTCAACCACCAGCCAGTCATAATCTCCATGTGAAATCTGGTTGAATCTGCATGTTTCGTGATTTCAAAGCCATGAGTCTAGGGCAATTCTCAGCTCCAGTCATAGCAGGTGCAAGGGAGCTATGCCTTGAAGGGCACCGTGAAATTGACTGATGCTGAGATGCTCGGTGATGGAAATGCCATGCGTTCATGGGGGGGTGCCTAAAATGGGGGATCCCCATAAACGCTGGATGGTTTGTTTCATAGAAAATCCAAAAATAACATGGATAATCTGGAGGTACCCCATTTTTTTTTGTAGGACAATCCACTGACTATGAAAAATAAGTGGTGAGGTCAGTTCAGAAAGGTGGTGAATCCTACCAGAACATTTTTAGGAAGCCATTATTTTTTCAATAATTCTAGGGATTCAATCCCAGTATTTGATTTCCATAAGCCAATATGGGAACCGTCCTACTTGAAAAATCTTCTCGAAGAACCGTTTACAAACCCTGGAAATACAAAGGAAGATCTACCCCACTCATACCCAACGGAAGTTTAATGCTATTTCAAATGGTTCTATATGGTTCAATATTGTTCATAATAGGATATTAATATACATATATATATATAAATGGGATATGGAACCATCCATCATATCAATTACCGAGGTTTGAAGATGTTTTTCCATGTTTTTCCTTTTCATTCATATCCCAGACATGACACCTGTTTTTTTTTGTTTTTTTTTGTGGTCAGATGACTAGACGATGCCGTTTGCACGTCATGCACTGGTCGTTTTCCAAGGAAAGGCTTCGTTTTTGTGGACTGTCCCGAGGTGGGGGTTGAGAGGGCAGTGGATCTGCCATAGAGTGAAAACCTTGATATCAAGGGGGTACATAGTAAGCTGATTAGTGGTTTGGAACATGAATTTTATTTTTCCATATATTGGGAATTTCATCATCTCAACTGACTTTCATATTTTCAGAGGGGTAGGTATACCACCAGTAAGTATATGTATAATATATGTATTGAAAACATATAACTATAACTTTCATTATACATATGTATAGTACATAACTTTATTAGAACAAAGATCTCTGATGGGAACGTCCATGAGTATATTATTACATATTACTTGATATTACGTGGGCAGGTGTAAGAAAAAGCATTAACCTATATTGAGGATCCAATGTTACATTGTACATTTTAATTATGTGATTTCGTTATATACATACGTATATGTATATATATATATACCAATTAGATTATGCATGTAGTTATATAATATGTATAATATGTATAATCAACATACCCATGGGCTAGATTTCTTCGATTTGATTAATTTTATTTGGGTATGTCCGTGGCCATGGCAAGTTACAGTACCTGGAACTTCCGTGGCATTTCTGGTTGGGACGACGGGCATTTCTGGTTGCTGAAGATGGGGCCATTATTGATATAGCTGGTAATAAGGGGATCAGAATGGGATTAGTGGGAACATGGTTAATGAATAGTGAATAGTGATCCCCATTCTGAATAATAAATCCTATGGGGATTCCACCATTTAGTATCATAAGGGGATCAGAATGGGATTCCACTATTCATACATGGTTAATGAATAATATTGAATAGTGAATACTAGTGGCTAATGAATAATAGTTATGTTCCCAACATAGTTGCTTAATATCAACCCTAATAGTTGATAACGGTGAACGTTAATTAACCATGTGAATATTGTATATTGTTATATTCACCAACTATTGAATAGTTAATATTTTCATATTCAACATTGTTAATATTCCAGAGGGTTAATGAATCATAGTTGATAATGGTGAATAGTGAATACCCTCTGGACTTATTGTTGGTTACATGACCGGTTCTATTCCATGCGATCGCATCCCCAAAGTACTCACAGCAGCACCTCTGAAAGGAGACACAACAGAAGGGCGTTCAACGGCTGGGAATTGGGATGCCGAATCATTGGTCGATAACCAATGGCTGTGGTCAATCCAACTTTCATCGAAGCCATTTCTGCCTTGGTGAAAAACACAGTACCCGGCCTGGTAAACATACAAAAAGCTATTGAAGATGGCCATAGAAATAATGGATTTACCAATTAATAGCATGGTGATTTTCCATGGTTAGGTTAGTTTACCGGAGGGTAAATCCCATTAGATCCCAGTAAACCACCTGCAATTGGTAGAATCAGCCATTGGGTCATGGATCCCCCTTTTCACCTTGAAATCAACGCCTCTGACGTAGGCCTTGAGCCCGGCTCGAAAAGACTTGCGCTGCCCACGCTCTTTCGTTGAGCGACTGTGCTGTCGCCATTTGGTTTGGCTACATCTTTGTGTATTTAGAGGGGAACTTCGAGCTGTAGCTACCGCATTGGTAGCGGAGCGCGTCCCGATCTCGGGCCGCTCCTGGTCTTCACCTTCCTCGTATTCGCCGAGCTCTACGGTGCCTTCACCTTCAACTACGGCGTACCGCGAGAGAAGCCGCTCTCGGGACCGCGCGACTGGTGGGCAGAGCTCTTCGGCCTGGACATCGCCTACGGCACCAGCTGCTGGTTCGAGCTCTACTTCCGGGACTTTGACACCAGGGACTCCTACAGCATCCACTCGGACTTTGACTACTACCCAACGACTCTACTTTGTGGATTGCGACTTGCTTCTTTTCCTGCTGGAAACAAGGACAAGAGCAAAGCAGTTGTACCAGGTTAGCAGGTTGATCCGCGATTTGCCTGCGCTTGGTGACAACCCGACACGTGAGGAGATCGGTCTCAACGCCTGGAAGAAACTGATCTTGGATTCACCGGCACTGGGTCCTCGACGTCTTTTCACTTTAGAAGATCTTGGATTGACCGTGGCTGCTCCAGAGAGGAGGTAAACCTGCGGAACACTTTTGCCTTTGGGGTGAGATCTACTTGATTGAGCCCAACCTTACACTCCTTTTCATCGAGCTCTACTTTGGTAAGTTCGTCTTTTTGCTGATCGTCTTAGAGTCTTAGACGTTTTACAGCTCAAGGCCATTTTGGCAGAGCCCTTTTACCAGTTTTTCTTGCAATCGCTCCACAACAGGAGCAATGGAGAATCGTCAAACAGCAGAGACAGTTCCTGGATGGGACGGAGATCCTAGAGGATGGAGAAGGTATCAAAGAGAGGTGAGTTGGTTTGTGATGGGGACAAAGCCATCGATGCGAAAGTATTTGGCACCTCGTCTCATAGCCAAGCTCACCGGGTCAGCGAGGCTCCTTGCGATGGGATGGTCTCAACAAGACTTTCAAGGTGTTGATGCCGTCAACCAGTACCTGAAGAAGCTGAGCAAGTCACCGCTGGTGAGACGCAAGCTGCCCAACACTGCAGCTGTGACGCAACAGTAATTTGGATTTCGCCGTGAACAAAGGGAAACCATACCTCACTTCCTGGCGAGGAAGAGCCTTCACTTTGAGGAGTTTGTGGAGGCACTTCACTTGCTGAAACAGGAGAAGGATGGTGCAATGGATGAGGTCTTCATCCCACCCTTGGATGAGGAAGAAACGCAGAGCCCTACACCTAAGGAGAAGTCCGACTACAAGCCGGTTCCTGCAGAAGATCCTGATGATCCTGCACGACAGCCTGCGGCTGCTGGAGCTCAACCTACATCGTCTACTTCGCCTACTTCGAGCATGGACTCCTTCATCCTGGAGCAACTACGTGGATGGCGACTTCTAATGGCTGCTGCTCTTTCACCATCAATTTGCTGATGGATTCTCAACTCAATGTTTCTTTTGTCACTAACGTACTGTATTACATCGTGATGGAACAGGGATTCGTGTTGGTTTGGATGCTTTCCCTAAATTGATCAACCATTCCATGGGTGACTTCCAGAAAATCATTTGTAGTTCATTTCTGCGCGTCCTTGTGGACCCTGCGTTGTTTCTATCGACTGTTCGGATGTCTTGATGGGTGATAGCTGAGAGCTCGTCATACTTGCACCGATGCTTTTCGAGCTTCTGTCTACAGGGTTACTTTGAGATTGCGTGGACCATCAAGTTTTCCGGCGTCGCATGCAGGCAGTCCCGGCACAACCACAACTGCCACATTTACTTTGCAGGCACGAGACTTGGAGACATTGGACATTTAGATGGTGGGTGTGTTTGGCACAAAAGCATAGACAACCCCCTTTCCCGGATCCTCAGACATTTGACAATCTGACCTGCATGCCCAGTCCCAGCATTGTTTGGTTTCATGATGGCGTCAGAAATTGTCTTACGCCGGTCTATGCATGTACATTCAAAATTTACTATACAGTGTGCACAGTATGTTGTTATGTCGTCCATGCATTAATATGTATGAGTATTTAGTAAATAAAGACATGCACATATATATATACACATGTGTTATGTATACATATGCATTGAGATGTTTACATATCGATGCATACACTTATTCTTTACGTTTCATGCACTTGGACACAGACACTGACCTCCCAGATCGCCCTTGCCAGAAGAGGTGGGTTCCTGTTGAGACATGCAACAATCAAATGCTTGCACTATCTTGCACCCGATTCCATTTCACAAAAGGGATGTGTGTTCCCAAAGCCAGAACACTTACAAACATGGATTCAATCTTACGGAATTAAGCCGTTGCAAGCAGTTGAGCTCGATCATCGGACGGTCTTGAACGCTGGCCATGACTTGGTTCTCATCTTCACGTTCTTCGAATTTCTTGGATGTCTTAAGCTTTGAGTTTGGGATTCAACATGTCTAAAGCAGTTGGAGGGGAGAAAAGGTGGCGCGAAATCATATGCCGTGCCCGTGGTTCTGCGATTTGGCTAGTTGGAATTCATCAGTTGGAATAATGCCATCATTATACATGGCGAGTTGGGATAACCAAACCTAGAATCACATAAAGTCACACGAAATCAACATCATGCAAAAACCATGCAAGAACCAAGGACAGGGAGGGTCCAGGAGAGTCAAGGACATGGCATCCAGAACCTGTGGTATTATATCAATGTCCATCAAGTATGGTCTATTTGGGGTGGTGTACGGAGTTTTAATCCATAGCGACATGATGCTCACAGGTTTAGACTCTTATTGAATGAATCCGACTCGGATCTGGGTCCGAGTCCAGTCGTACTTGCCTTGGTTCAGGCGGCGGCTGAGAAGATTCAAGCGGCCCTCCGTGGTCGCCGTGTGCGTGAACAGCAGGCGACTTGAAACCGGTGGTTTGATTATGGGATGAATTTATATCTATATATATTTATGTGTTTTATATTCTGGTGGATTTTATAGCCAGGGGTGGTTTATCATTGCATGGAACTTTGAATATATGAAACCCTGCAACTGAGCCACATACTGGTACAGGATTTTGTCCATCTGAACGGTAGATCCTCAGCACAACAAGATGGGTGATGGGCCGTGAGAAGATGCACTGCACTGACCAGTTCGTTTTGTCCACTGTCTTGCACGAATGGCAAGCGTTAAAGTGTGTTTGGCATATCGAGTCTCGCAACCACACCATGGCGAAGGGACTTCAACTTCGGGTTACGTCCTTTTCCATGTTGAATGCGGTCTGTTCTGTGGTGACCAAAAACGACCCTCCAGTCGTGAATTTAGGACAGAACTAGTGAATACACTAGTGATCCCTGCGAAGGCTACCTGCTTGTATGGCGACGTCACTGGTGACTACTCCACATGTGACTTGGCTTCGGGCATTGGCAATGATATGATTAGATGGTCGTCATGATGATGGTGATGATGCTGGTGATGATGACGGTGGCGATATTGATGGCCATGATTTTCATGGTGATGGTGATGATTTTTGACGGTGATGATGGTGATGCTGCCGATGCGGGTGTTGCTTGTGATGTTGATCATGGTGATATTTGATAGTGGCAATGGTAGCGATGTTGGTGATAATGATGACGCTGATGGTGGTTATGATGATGATGTTGTTGTTGATGATGATGATGATATCTCACACATGCGTGACTCTTCAGAGACGGCCATTTTATGCATGTGATGAATTCATGGGTTTTGCTACTGTTCAATTGGCTTGATTTGGAGCCTACAAAAAAGAGGTGGTTCTCCAAACAATGGTCGCCTCTTGGTTTCTGGTGCTTTTTTTGTGACACGGTATTTATTTCGGAGCTCCATGATCTTCATACAGGCCACAGGTCAAAGGTTGTTTCTTGATTTATAGCATATGGGCACGGACTCACACCCTCAGAAATGCAGGGTTTCAAGCTCTTCGGGTAATTGGGTGCTCAGAGCTGCATCGAGGGAGTTGGAAACGGGTCGGTTTCCCTCGAATTCCGTGCGCCAAATCGACTCCCCACCAAGGAAACCTACCCTTGCTTATGAAATTCGAATGATTTTCATTTCTTGATTCTAAGTCAAAGTAATTTGGTGCAGTGGACTTCATCAGATTTGAATTACCATCATGGCTTTTGCGTGGTCCGGACCATCACTGTTCGTGCGTTGCGGTCATGTCATATACCAGAAAACCCTGCACCAGTCAAATCGTTAAACTGGTCATGCATTCAAACTACTGGGGTGAGAAGCCAGAACCAAGCCAAGTGGGAGCACACCCGCATAGTACATGATTTCTTGATGCAGATTCAAATAGCGGGTTCAGACTTCATACCAATGTTTTGCATATAGTTGAACAGCACAGTTTGTGACTGACTGGACCTCTGAGCATTTGGATTCGGTGCACCAAACATCACACATAGATGTTGCTGTTTGTGTTTGCATTTTCATGGGGTTTTATTCCGATGGACTTGAGCACTGTTGCCCAAACGAAAGCTGGATCATCTCGTCCGTCGCCCGAAGCCATGTTCACGCGCATCGTTCTTCTACAATGCCCGAGTGAGACATCACAACCTTGGTTGAAACATTAAATGAACACATAGTGGTACCTTAGGAATTATTTGGCTGTGTTATTTACGCGCGTGTGTTTGTACACCTGTGTGTCATTCTATGCCTTTGTATCAATATCTATTTACAGTGCTACTTCCAACGGTTTATCAAAACCAAAAAGCATACAGACTGATTGAACATTTGTTAACTAGTGCATTGACCCTAATCGACATAGTTGCTGCACAAAAGAATAGGAACCACGAAATTAGAGTGGTAAATCGCCCCGGTCCAAGAGCAAAACCTTACATGCACCCATATTCTTGTTGTTGGTTTGCTATCCGCTGCTGAGATGGTCGCAACGCCCGCCCAAACGCAACGCAGGTAAAGAAAACACAGAGCCCGTGTGAAGAAGAAGGTGCTCTCCTCTTTTGCTGCCGCTCTGAGCACGTGGTGACAGTCTTTTGGCACCTTGGCAACATGGTACTGCAGTGTTGTCTTCATTTGTGTTCTATGCTGTGGGTATTGCGGTGCAGCTGTGGCACATGGCAGCTGTGACGTTTGAGGTGGGCTGAGTGCGAGATCCACATGGAGCTCTGTGCAGGTGGCACCCTGGCGGGCCATATTCAGCAAGCTCCCAGGGAACCGCGCATCAAGTTCCACCACAAAGTCGGAGAGCAAGTTCTGTTTCCCGGCTGCTAAAATGTTCATTTGAAGTGAATGTGTTGTTGAACCATCAGATCATGTGTCTCACATCATGGTTCTTTTTCTGCTCTGTCATTTCTGTCATCTTGATTTGTGCACTGCGTGGAGTTAAACGTGGCTGGTGTATAAGAAGTATTCAGAGCAAAGGCTGAAGAAATTAACTTAAGCAGCCAAGGAAAGGTGTCAAAGCAGTTAAAACCGCAGAACCCACTTCCTGGATCTCAGATTGCGCCCAATGTGCCAGGTCCATGAATTTTGCAGCGGGATCGGTCTGGAGCCTGCGCCCCCTAACAGAAGACTTGCACTCAAAGTTTCCGACAGGACATGTTTCCCATGCATTTCCACGCTTCCCAGTGCATCCAATGGCTGTGACGGTGTGCTGTGCAACCTGTATCAAGCAACCGGTTTCGTAATCTTTTCAGGAGAGCTGTGGCTCACATCCACCATTGCGGCGTGGCGCATCGCGACATCAAGGCGCCGAATATTCTACTGACGGAAGCTCGAACCGTTCGCCTTGCAGACTTCGGGTCTGCTTCCTGGAGTGCCCCGGATGAATGGCACCAAGACGTCGCAGGGTCTTTGACTAATCTCGCGCCGGAGGCGTTGCCACTTGCCTCCGCATTGCGCCAAAGTGCGCAATTGTACAAAGCCAGGCCTGTGGATGTTTGGGCAACTGCCGTTACCTTCTATGAATGTGTGGTAGGCCGGCCACCTTTCCGGGGCTCCAGTTTGAAAAGGTTGTTTGATGCCATCAAGCGGGGCATAGCTCTCGAGGAGCGCAATTTTTTTTGATCCTTTGGATCGCTCCTTCGCCGCTTTGGGGCACATGCTGGCCGGTGACCCGGGGCACCGTTGCACTGCAGAGGAGGCCCTAAAAATCACAAAACGCAATGGTGCGGAGCCGCAAGGTTCACAGCCAAAATGTCAAAAATGGAGGAAGTCTCGCATAATTGCTTCGTTTTCAAGATGTCAACTTCCATTTTTGAAGGAAGTCTCGAATTGCTTCGTTTTCAGCTCTGCAACTTCCATTTTTGGAGGAAGTCTCGTAGAATTGCTTCGTTTTCAGCTCTGCAACTTCCATTTTTGGAGGAAGATTCACAAAATTGCTTGTTTATCTTCTTTGTCATGTTGTCAGATCCCAGAAAGCTCAAACACTAGATAGATACATAGCTGAGATAGATCAGATGGAAAGATAGATCAGACCAGATGGCTCAGACAGATCATACCAATCAGATCAGATGGATCCGATACAGTAGACAGATTGATCACATAGACAGACAGATAGATTGATCAGATCAATCAGACAGGTAGCTCCGATAGGTCGGTAGGTAGATCAGATGGATCAGATCGATCGATGCACAGATAGACAGATCACATAGATCAGAAAGATCAGAAAGATCAGATAGACAGATGGGTAGATCAGGTCAGACAAAAAACAAAAACAGATAGCTCAGATAGATAGATAGCTCAGATAGATAGATAGATAGATAGATAGATAAATAGATGGATACATAGATAGATAAACTGATAGGTAGATAGATACATAAACAGATCAGAGAGACAGATTGATCAGATACATCAGACAGACAGATAGGTAGTAGATAGATTAGATAGATCAGTTCCATAGATGCGAAGCAAGACAGATAGATAGATCAGAACAGACAGAAACAAAAGCAGATAGCTCAGAGAGATCAGGTGCATATAGATCAGATAGATCAGACAGACAGGTAGATAGATCAGATAGATCATTTAGATAAACAGATAGATAGATCAGATAGATCAGATAGATCAGATCGGTAGATACGCAGATAGACAGATCAGATAGATCAGAGAGATCAGATGCATATAGATCAGATCAGACAGACAGATAGCTCAAACCCGATAGAACAGATAGGTTAGATCAAATTAGACATCAAAGCTCCGTCAGCTGATCACTCTGCCACTTGTGATTCTCAGCATCCTCACATTTCCTGCAGGTTTCTTACCCTGGAAACTTCCGCCACCGCCTCATGCGGTACTACTGGTATGTAATGAATACTGGTTTCGAGCTCTACCATAGTTCCGATCTCTACCATTTCCGAGGGCTACAGTCCTGGAAGCCTTGCAGATGACAAAGAACTTCCTGACCCTCAAGCCCTTCCAGACTCTAAAGATCTTGTTGGCTCTGACGAAGTTCGAGACGCAGGAGGAGATGAGGAGATTTCAGAGAAGGAGAGAGAGGTTTGGAGAACCAAGCTCAACCGCTTTCATCGAGCTGCAGGACATCCCACTTCCAAGAACCTTGCAAGAATGCTCCAAGACGCTGGAGTTGCAAAGTGGAAAGTCAAAGAAGCTTTGAGCTTCAAGTGTCCTTACTGCGAGGAAGCTCGACTTGGAGGTACTTCTTCAAAACAGATCCCTCCGGCATCTCTTCGACCTCTACCACGTGTGTGGGAGCATGTCTGTTTGGACATTGGAGAATGGACAGTGCCCAACTTTGACGGCAAGATCAAGTTCATTCTGTTCATCGACATAGCGACCCGCTACAAGGTCACCGAGTCCCTCTTCGACTATGCCCACGGCGAGGTCAAGATTGAGAACGCCGACATGGTGATTCAAGCCATCACTTTGCGATGGCTGATGGACAAACCTCGTCCACACGTTCTGATTCCAGACAATGCCAAAAGTCTGATGTCTCAGAAGTTTGTGGATTTCATGATGGAGATGCGGGTAGAAGTCATTCCACCTCCTGACCAAGAATCTTGGGCGCATGGCATTGTGGAGAGTGCCATCAACTTGATCAAAACGACGGCAACCAAGATCCACTTGTCCATGCCGGATTTGGATCCCCGCTTGACTTTAGCTTTGGCAACAAGCGCTTTGAACTCGAGCGAGTTCCACCGAGGATACACAAGTCTTCAATGGGCTTTTGGCAAACAAACAGAATTTGGCGATGAGGAGCTACGTCGTCAACTTTGTCTTCCCATTGATCATCAACAACAAGAATTTGCTCGACTTCTCAACAGCCGTCAAACTGCTGAAGCTTGTGCCCGAAAAGCAAAAGCTCAAGTGGTCTACTCCAAGCTGAAGAACTCTTCAATCCGACAACCTGTGAGAACCTTTCATCCAGCCCAACCTGTGATGGTCTGGAGGAA